GTTATCTATCTGTTCACCTTTGTAGTGTCCAAGTTCTCAAGCATTCTGGTATTGCCAACAAATGCTTTCGAATTTTGAATTTCTTAGATCTTAAGATGACCAAATGTTTATGTTGTTTCAATAAATTATTGTTTTAACTCAATTCCCTATGTGGAAATAAACTGGAACAAAAGCTTCAAGCAGATAACATTTATTGGTTGAGATATTTAAGCATTATTAGGCATAAAAAATTAAATATCTGTAAAATTACCTCTTGTCCTAAAAGTGTGCAATACTACAAAGGAAAAAAAAGGGATGTAAAACTGGGGAGTTTTACGAAGGGCCTCCAAAGTTTGTCCGGCTAGTGGAGAAAGAATGAAGTGTTTCAACTTCTAAAACATACCAACACATATCTAGTCAAAAGCTAATCATAACAACAACAACAACCAAATAACCCTGGGCTTTGGACATCTTTCTATTTACATTAGTTGTTTCAGGTGTGTCTTTCCACAGAGTCCTAGTTTGTCATCTTGAAACTTAGAAACCACTATCTGGAGGTTACAGTGCCTGAAGACATTAAGAAATTCTGATATTTGACTTCCCTGTCAGGCAAATTTAAAAAAAAAAAAGAGGAGATGTTAGTGAATGGATTGAAAAAAAAGATCATGGTAAAAGTGTTTTGCGTTTTCCTTCTCTGGAATACAAAGCACAAGAATTTCAGACTTCAGTGTTTTAAAGGTTTTTATAAGAAATTATTGTCATTTTTATAGAATCTGATATATTTTCTCAAAATTGCCCATTATTATCATAAATGTGGACCATACAAATGTTACAATTACAGTGATTATATTTCAAATGCTGTCTTAGGAAATGGCAACTTCATAAAGTTTACTGATATCAAAATTTTACAGAGGTGTTACAAGATACAATTCTGCTTTAAATATCTAAGCCGAATTGCAAAACATTAATATTAATTCCTCCCTAAAATTGAGATTTATTTTTTTCTTAATCATTAGTGTTCATTTCTTTCTATACTGAATTTTTTTTTTTCCAGTACTGGAGATAAACCCAGAGACACTTGATCACTGAGCTACATACTCAGCCTTTTTTATTTTTTATTTTGAGATACGGTCTTGCTAAGTTGCCCGGGTGGGACCCCACCTTGGACTTGCCACCCTCCTGCTTCAGTGCTGGAATTACAGGCATGTGTCACTATGCTCTGCTTGAACATCTTCCTCCAATTCACATTCTGCGATATTTGTTGAATGCTATTTGGTCATGCTGATACCTAAAGCAATATCTGTTTAGAATGTGGCATATTGAAAACATCTTTAGGTTATTTTTTCCCAAAGTAAGGAACAGTTGATTTAGGAGAGTACCTCCAAATATACTGTTTTAAACTTATAATATTTATTGTTTTCTGCATTAGGAAAAACAGACAAAATTTAACTGCAGTATAAAGTTTCACTTTAAAATACATTTATATGTTTAATTTTAGGTGGGATTTTTATTATTATTATTATTATTTTTTTGGTACCAGGGATCAAACTCAGGTCCTTGCGCTTTCCGGGCAGTTGGTGGAACCACTGAGCTAAACCCCCGGCCCTAGGTGATTATTTTTAAAATAACTAGATAGTAATTCAGAGGACATTAGGAAGGTAAAATCCCTGAAGTTGAATGTAAATCCCCAAATCAAGTCAAGGAAATATGTGTTGGTTTAGGATAACTTTCTCCAATTCAATTCCAAAATATCAATATTTTAAAAATTTACCCTGAAATAAATAGATATTATTGTGATATGCTAATTTTAAATTTTTTTTATTTTTGAAGCTATACATTTTCTAATTTATAATACACAATCATTAAATCAAAAGTGCACTTAGAGATCAAAATAATATAATCGATTCATTCTGCAGGTGATTAACATCTTTAAATTCAATCAGCCCATTGGTAACTAAGATACACTTTCAGCCCAGACTCTGCTACTCTTCCTCACTGCTATTATGAGAAATTTTGGCTGGGCACATTAGCTTTTTCTAATAGGACCAATTTTCAAAATTGTACTTCAGTTTCAGTCTACCATTATTAAACAAGTAGAAAAAGTCTGGGTTTTTGGAAAGATTTTTAACTGAAAGATATGTGAATTGACAAATTTGTTAAAAAGGCAATAAGCTTATCATAAGAGCTATGCTCAAACAGAATATTTCTAAAGCTTAAATTGCAAAGAGGGTTAGGCTCTTCAAGCAGTTTTTTAAAAAGTAACATTCAAAAATGTTTTTAAAGAACAAAATAAATAGACAACTGCAGATAACCAGCCTACAATCAGTTTTCTGCACAAAACACCCAAATCAAGACAAAGTCCAAGGTAATAAAAAATTAGAATGAAAGGCTAAAAATAATCAGGGATGGGGGAGAAAGCAATACATAACAGATTTGTTTTAGGAGTAAAATTTGAAGCCAAAGATAACAAACATCTCAGAATTAGATGTGCCAAGTTTCAAATTTATTTTGCCCACAGAATGGGAGATGTCATTGCAAAGGGTGTGGTAACTAGGCGGTGGTAGTGTTCAGAAAAGCAGAAATAAAATGCTGGTTTTGTAAAGTCAATACCTAAACTTCCCAATGGGTGCTAAGTCTCTCTAAGATGCTCCTTCTGGAATCCTTAAAGACAAGCTGCTGAGTAGAGCCAGGGTTTGATGTTTTTAATCCTGGAGTAAACAGTGCCTTCAATGCCCTACTCCTGCCCTGGGTGACCTGGGCCAGTTTTGTGCTTAGGGTCGCTCAGCTGCAAAAGGCACCAAGTATTTATTTGTTCATTTGCTTGTTCTGCTTTGTGTTTCTGGAGGGACAGCAAGGCTCCTGGTAAGGAAGTCAGCTTTGGAGTAGAGGATGAGGAAGTCGTCACTACCCAGCCCTGCACATTTGAACCCCCACTCACCACCAGCCCACTCTCAGGTGCTTCTGACACAAGACAGGCACCAACCTGACCTCCAAGCTTCTTTGGAAAGAAATATAGGCAAGTCTTCTTCTATCGTTGAGATTTATTTTTAAGAATCGGGGAAATACATAAAAAAGAAGCTTGAGGCATGCAGAAGAGAGAAGCATTTGGATATGTCACTTAATCCGTCTGCTTCTCAGCTTGCTCATCTGGGAAAGGGGCACATGGAGCTAAGTGCCTCATCAGCTCAGAAGTTCTCTTTGGTGGGGAAAGGGCTGTGAAAAGTGGGTCACAGGCCGGGAGCAATCACCCCACCCCATCTAAGCTGACTGGAGATTCTCACTGGCCCAGAGTAAGACTGCCCTTACTGGGATGGCCTAACAGAGGGTGTCAGCATTTGTCTCTGGCTTCAGTCCTCAACCCAACACACACACACACACACACACACACACACACACACACACACACACACACACACACACACACACACTTTCTTCTCCCAGGCCTCTTCCAAGGGATGGTTTGCAAATGTGAACAAGGGGATACACACAGTTTTGAGGAACTATCTAGAAAAGTCAACACGCGATTAGGCAGAAGTCTGTGATAAGGCTCCTCCACGGCTTAAGGGAACACTAGGGAGGGACCAGAGCTCCCGCCTGCTTGCCAGCGGTTCCGGTGTTTACTGTGTCCGGGGCTGCGGCGGGACAACACGCGATCAGCCCGCAGCTTGGCTCCATCCCTTGGCTGTCTTGTGCCGCTCCCTACGGCTTTCTCTCCTTCCGTCTGTGTTACTGGCTCTCTCTCCTTTCCTTTCCGGGCACCGCTGTCCCTCTCCACCATGCCCCTGTCTCCTCCTCCTCCTCCTTCTGCTCTCCTCCCTTCGAGGCGAGAGCGCCAGCGAGGCGAGGGCTTGCCCATCGCGGCCAGGCGATGCCTCCAGGTTCCTCGGCGGCGGCTGGAACCCGGAGAAGGAAAAGCATTCATCTCCACCCGGCTCTCCCGGGGTCCAGAGGCCATGAGCGCACCTGAAATCATAGCCTGGCCACAAACTCGCGCCTGTTCTAGCCCCTCCGAGGGGGCCGGCGGGGTCTCCAGAGGCTCCCGCGTGCTAGACTGACTCCCCGAGCACACTTGACCTCGGAGGGGGAATCGGAAAGTGGACTGCACGCGGGGGGCCCCGGAGAGGGGCCACCGTCCAAGAACTAGGCGAAAGCTTCTAGAATTAGGTCGAGAGGCCGAGCCTGGGCGACCTGGAGTCCGCTGGGAAGAAAGGCGCCCTCCCTCGGGGGCTCGCTCGGCCTGAAGCCGCGGACACCGAGGCCTCTGCGCCTGGGTCGCCGCGCCCCGGTCCACGCACTTCCCTGTCTCAAGCTGCGGCTCGCGGGCTGCCACCCACCGCCTCCCACGAACCCCGAGGAGGAAATAGGTGGCGGCCAAACACGACCCGGCAGGGCGGCAGCCTGCAGGAGAGGATACCTTCTTACCCTT